CACCAGACCGACGTTGTGGCTTTAAGAGCCCACACCCATCGGCCAGAAAAACGAGATTTGAATCGAGAAGTCTTTCAGAAACGAGAGCTCTTTGTTTTAGAGAGAGAAGTTGTTGAATCAACTAAAATTGTATGGAATTATGGCTATTGAAGAAAGATCAGTATATTGAAGATTATCGAAATTAACTTCAAAACATAATTAGACATACAATTTCTAATACAGTTTCCGATCATATCAGTTTTAAGAAGTCATCTTTTAAGAAGAAGTAATTTATTTAACTCGTTTGACGATGGACGCGTATTAAATTTTGAATCCGTGTAATTTCATAATCATTTAATTAACACAACGTTTCACGTTTTATAGTAGATGTTGTTTAGCGTGAATTAGTGTAAAAATGTATATAATATACGTGTACATACATAGATAATTGTATGATGTTATCTGCGACGTGGTCGTGGTGTATATTGACAAGACTTTGGTAAATATTTATAATTAAACCCAACTTATGATTATTAGACTGCCGGCTTATACTATAGTTTTGTTGAAAATTCAAAACAGGACTGAAATGTATTGATTACATACTTAACATAAATGTCTTCATTCCATTACTAGTATAGTAATTGTTTGCAACATTAATTTGGTAATGTCAAGGCTGTGTTACGAAAAAGGCATTCCTCTCGGGCTCCTAAATAATATATAAATTTTGGAATCTCCAATTTCCAAATATTAATCATAGAAAGCAAATTATTTTAATAAATAGTTTATGAAAGTTTGGTTAAAAAATTCATAGAAAAAAAACAAGATTATCATAGTTTTTTTTTTGTTAACATTCAGTATTTTTTTATAGGTTTTAAACTTTATTTAAAAGTTTTTTTAAAATCTATTTATAACTACCGCTAAAAAAAGTTATATTTTTTAATTCGTTTAGAGCTTTTAGAAGTCTTGGCAGGCACTGCGTAATGTAAATACACGGAGAAAAAATCATTCTATAAATGTTGACGATCGAGA